CCCCTACTCCAGAGAAATAGAACAAGCTAATGAGAGTAAGGCCTTTCAAGCTGAAGAAGTACTTGAGTCACTCATGCCAGAATGTGGCTCAGCCCTGAATCAGAATGAAGCATGAAATGTAGGCTGAGACTTATCGATCCGGTGATATAAACCAAGACAGACACATTTTTTCAACAGCAACATGAAACACAGGTATTCTATTGGTATTCATTGCAGTTAGCCAACTTCTTACTTGTTACATGCTACATATGTTGGTCCTTCTCACCACAATCTCTGTGAAAACTTTTAAAACCACTCTGCCAGAAACTCATGCACCAGAAGCAACTATGTTCCAATTTTTGGAAGACAAAATAATATTTTCTGTGCAGGAAAATCTGATGTGTTTCAAAGCAATTGCACATTGTTTTTCAGCTCATTCTCACACCACCATAGCTATAACTGGTAGCTATAACTCCCCTAAGCTACACATGATTTTTACTAGACATCCTAGCTGTCTCTTTTAGATTTCATCCTTAAAGAAATGCCCTCAGGAACTGTAAAGGACAACTTCTATATAAACCTTCACAATGCCTGTGGTATTTCTGAGATTACATCATGAAAAAACAGATGATTATGATTCTCTCACCCCAATTTTTTTTTTTTAATATCAACCCCATGCCCTTTTGCATGCCTTTCCTTGCCGAACTTTGTGTTTTCTGAGGCCCCGGTATCCTAACAGCTGTTTATTGATACACAGCTACTGAAATAAAGTAGCAAATCAGTAAACCAGATAGTGTAGGTTGCCCAAAAGAAGACTGGAAAATTATTTGCTATAGTGAATAACAGGAGTTCTATTATTGATTTTTATAACGTTTGACACTATTGTGGGGTTTCTCTGTTTAACACATGCTTGTGGTGATTTACACAGATTTAGTCGTAAGCAGATAAAGTGCTCACTCCCACCCCTCCACTCCTGCTGCGGAGGAAACTTAAGCAGCTCTCTGATTTCCTCAGCTTTGTCGGGAGCTGAACAAACTTGCCCCACACTGAGATGATGTTGCATGACCGCTGCTGTAGTTTCATTCCATTGCTTTTTGCTGCTTGGATGCTTGCTTGGCCTGAGTGCCCAAATCTGTAAATGCAAGCTCAGCCTTTCCAGCATATTGTGATGTGTGAGGGTATGAAACTTGGTCACAATTATTCTGTTTCTTGTAGGAACATTTCAATAGCTTTGCACCCCTCATGAACAGTGATAGTAAATCAATGCTTGCAGAGGGATGAGTTTCACCCCAAAGAGTATTTCTGGAGCAAAAGAGACCAGTCCAAGGTCTATGCAACACCTAAATTCCCCTTTAAGCCTTAGCTTAAGTAAAAGTGGGATTTATGTGTTGTATAAGCCTTGTGTTGGCCCTCTGCACAGGGGTGGATTTCACTATTATCACCTAATTCTCAGAGGAGCATTCACAACTCCTATTGGTTTTGGTAAAGCTTAATTTAATTAAATTACCTTTTAACCTGCCTTATAAGGTTTATAAGCCGCCTTCCCATTACTTATCTGCATCTGTACATTGTGCCTCTGCCCACAGCAGCCCTGCTAGCCTGGAGAAATGTGTTGTTAAAATTAAATGTATCTTTATAGCATTTAGTAATGCAGCCATTGTCCTTCAGAGCACCCACAGCAGATGTTACAGAAACAAATCGGAGATTTCCAGTGCTGGGTAGAAGACTGAGGTGATGTCTCAGTCTCCAAAAAGATGGAAATTTAATTCTTGATGTAGCAGTGGTGCTCACAAATTGATCAAGTGAGGGCTTCAGAAGAGAAAAAGACTTCACAACAATCTGGCACTAGCCACACCACCACCCAATGGGAAGTACTGAAAAGGCTTCCTCCTTTCACCTCTTTGCCCTAGCTAATGTATCCCAAGGAGCAGAAGCTGACAAGAGCTGAAATGGGTAGTAGTCAAACCTGACACACACACAGCAGGACATTTAAAATGGATCCAATGTGTTGATCACTATGTTTCAGATAAATCTTGACCATGGCAGGAGACTGGCCTGAACAAAGCTACTGGCCCAGGGACCCAGGAAAAGCAACATCTCAATCATTTCCAAAGTAAGAGGGAAGAGTAGAGACAAAAAAGGGGAAGACCAGGAGAAGAATGAAGCAGAAGGGCTGTGTCAGTATTAGTTAAAATTGACTCTGTAATTCTCCCCTCTGCTCAGGAATCTCCTGATTCTTCTCCTTCCTGTTCTACCCGCTCATTTTTACATGTGCCCTTTCCCCATGTGCGTCTATGGAACATGAGTAACACTGGAAAGCAGTTTGTTCTCCCTTCAGCAAAGGAGGCACAGGCTGTTCATTACTAGATGGCTGTGTTTCATTACCGGCACTGTGGGAACACTCTTCATACCACTTCCCCTTGAGTCACCAAGTGCCCCTCACACCTCCGAGTAAACGATACTCTGCTGCATGTTTGAACATTGCTCATGCAAAATGGCTGAGTGTGGTTGTTTGCCGAATGTAGGAGGGCAATTGTGTACTGGTGTACCTTGTGCAGCCTCTTAACGATGTTTTTTTTTTAAAATAACTCACATGGCCCTGCTATAATAAAATGTTTCTAAAAGCCCTGAATCATGACACAGAGTTAGTTACTGATAGCTTGTTTTCCTGTGTGTGTTTTGCTGAAGAAGCACACTGGGGTGGTTGTGCTGGAATAGGAGGAATATATTTTATAAGCAGTGGTCCCCAAACTGTGGAGCGTGCCCCCCGAGGGTGGTGTGGAGGAACATTCGGGGCGGGGGGGGCACGCAGCTCCTCCCCCAACCTCGTTTAGCCCCCAGTCCTGCTCCACCTCCAGGCCCTCTCCGCCCCCAGACCAGCTCCGCCCCCAGCC